TCAGCCTGCAGAGGTTGTAGGGGGGGGGGGTCAGCCTGTCAGGGCTCAGACCATACGCCGCACACTGGCTGTGGTCCCGGAAGGAAGTCTCTTCTAAAGAAAGCCGCACACAGGAAGACACGCAGACTGAGGACACGGAATACTGGAACCGCTTCCTCTGGTCTGATGACACCAAGATAAACGCATTTGGTTCAGATGTTGTCACGCGTGGCAACCAGGTGAAGAGTACAAAGACACGTGTGCCTACAGTCACGCATGGTGGGGGGGAGTGTAATGGTCTGGGGGCTGCCGGCACTGGGGGGCTACAGAGGGAACCATGAATGCCGACATGAAGGACTGGAAGGGTAGGACTGGAGGGGAAGACTGGAGGGAAGGGGAGGACTGGAAGGGTAGGACTGGAGGGGAGGACTGGAGGGAAGGGGAGGACTGGAGGGAAGGACTGGAGGGAAGGGAGGACTGGAGGGAAGGGGAGGACTGGAGGGAAGGGAGATCAGGAATGATGGGACATCCCCACAGCGAGAGGATACAATGTAATAGAAGAGAGCTGGAGGAGACAAGAAGTAATTTTGGATGAGGAAAAGGTTGGCGGAGGGATTAGCTGATGGTGGATGGCCGGGGGGAGGGGCTAAGGAATGAGAGCTGGCCAATCAGAAGACGTAGGTATTGGGGTCACTTCTTATGCTGAGGGCTCTCTCGGCCTGTGCAATGGCGTCGTCGGCCCTCCTGCTCAGCTCTTCGCACTCCTGCACAATGTCACTGAACTGCTTGTGGGCCTCCTCGATGATGGCGCTCTGGAAGGGTTTCAGTTCCCAGTACCCGGCCTCCACCCACGGCTTGGCAGAGCCCGGCACCGCCACGGCATTGCCGGCGGCGAATCTCTTCAGTGAGTTATCGATGTCCCGGCACAGGCGGTAGAGGTCGCTGCCGCTGCCGCTGACCCTCTCGCCGTCAATCACCCGGACGCTGGGTACGGTGTCCAGCACGGCGTGCCGGTAGGAGCCGTTGGCGCACAGAGGGTTGGTCAGGTTGTAGACGGGATCCCTCAGGCGGATGCTCTCCAGCTTGCGGAGACCCTTCAAGCAGTGCAAAGCCTCGACGCCGCACAGCGCGTTCCCGGCCACGTTGAGGGTTTGCAGGTTGTCACAGGAGGCCAGCGGCTCCAGGGAGGACACGCGGTTACACGACACGTTGAGGGCCGCCATCATCTTCAGGGAGGAGAGCGGAGCCAGGTGGGCGATGTGGTTGTTGGACAGATCCAATCGTTCCAGGTTCAGACATTCCCCGATACATCCCAACTCCTGAACCCCGAGACCGCGCAGCTTCAGGAAGAGGATTGACTCCAGATCAAACTCCCCCGTCCGGGATTTCAGCATCTCCGGAGTGAGACGGGAATGGTCCTCCTCCGCGGTCACTCGGCTCTCCATGGTCTGAAGGTTTCCCGATGGCCTCCAACTCCGGACTCGTTATGGAGATCTGTAGAGTCCGTCAGAAACATGGTGTCATTAGAGCAAGAAGACCCATCGGGGATCAACATCGGGGATCAACATCGGGGATCAACATCGGGGATCAACATCGGGGATCAACATCGGGGATCAACATCGGGGATCAACATCGGGGATCAACATCAGGGATCAACATCAACATCGGGGATCAACATCGGGGATCTGTACAGAGACTGATGTGACTGTGGGGGAGGGGACAGTAGAGTGTAAGCTCCTCTGTACAGAGACGGATGTGACTGTGGGGGGAGGGGACATTAGAGTGTAAGCTCCTCTGTACAGAGACGGATGTGACTGTGGGGGGAGGGGACATTAGAGTGTAAGCTCCTCTGTACAGAGACGGATGTGACTGTGGGGGGAGGGGACATTAGAGTGTAAGCTCCTCTGTACAGAGACGGATGTGACTGTGGGGGGAGGGGACATTAGAGTGTAAGCTCCTCTGTACAGAGACGGATGTGACTGTGGGGGGAGGGGACATTAGAGTGTAAGCTCCTCTGTACAGAGACGGATGTGACTGTGGGGGGAGGGGACATTAGAGTGTAAGCTCCTCTGTACAGAGACGGATGTGACTGTGGGGGGAGGGGACATTAGAGTGTAAGCTCCTCTGTACAGAGACGGATGTGACTGTGGGGGGAGGGGACATTAGAGTGTAAGCTCCTCTGTACAGAGACGGATGTGACTGTGGGGGGAGGGGACATTAGAGTGTAAGCTCCTCTGTACAGAGACGGATGTGACTGTGGGGGGAGGGGACATTAGAGTGTAAGCTCCTCTGTACAGAGACGGATGTGACTGTGGGGGGAGGGGACATTAGAGTGTAAGCTCCTCTGTACAGAGACGGATGTGACTGTGGGGGGAGGGGACATTAGAGTGTAAGCTCCTCTGTACAGAGACGGATGTGACTGTGGGGGGAGGGGACATTAGAGTGTAAGCTCCTCTGTACAGAGACGGATGTGACTGTGGGGGGAGGGGACATTAGAGTGTAAGCTCCTCTGTACAGAGACGGATGTGACTGTGGGGGGAGGGGACATTAGAGTGTAAGCTCCTCTGTACAGAGACGGATGTGACTGTGGGGGGAGGGGACATTAGAGTGTAAGCTCCTCTGTACAGAGACGGATGTGACTGTGGGGGGAGGGGACATTAGAGTGTAAGCTCCTCTGTACAGAGACGGATGTGACTGTGGGGGGAGGGGACATTAGAGTGTAAGCTCCTCTGTACAGAGACGGATGTGACTGTGGGGGGAGGGGACATTAGAGTGTAAGCTCCTCTGTACAGAGACGGATGTGACTGTGGGGGGAGGGGACATTAGAGTGTAAGCTCCTCTGTACAGAGACGGATGTGACTGTGGGGGGAGGGGACATTAGAGTGTAAGCTCCTCTGTACAGAGACGGATGTGACTGTGGGGGGAGGGGACATTAGAGTGTAAGCTCCTCTGTACAGAGACGGATGTGACTGTGGGGGGAGGGGACATTAGAGTGTAAGCTCCTCTGTACAGAGACGGATGTGACTGTGGGGGGAGGGGACATTAGAGTGTAAGCTCCTCTGTACAGAGACGGATGTGACTGTGGGGGGAGGGGACATTAGAGTGTAAGCTCCTCTGTACAGAGACGGATGTGACTGTGGGGGGAGGGGACATTAGAGTGTAAGCTCCTCTGTACAGAGACGGATGTGACTGTGGGGGGAGGGGACATTAGAGTGTAAGCTCCTCTGTACAGAGACGGATGTGACTGTGGGGGGAGGGGACATTAGAGTGTAAGCTCCTCTGTACAGAGACGGATGTGACTGTGGGGGGAGGGGACATTAGAGTGTAAGCTCCTCTGTACAGAGACGGATGTGACTGTGGGGGGAGGGGACATTAGAGTGTAAGCTCCTCTGTACAGAGACGGATGTGACTGTGGGGGGAGGGGACATTAGAGTGTAAGCTCCTCTGTACAGAGACGGATGTGACTGTGGGGGGAGGGGACATTAGAGTGTAAGCTCCTCTGTACAGAGACGGATGTGACTGTGGGGGGAGGGGACATTAGAGTGTAAGCTCCTCTGTACAGAGACGGATGTGACTGTGGGGGGAGGGGACATTAGAGTGTAAGCTCCTCTGTACAGAGACGGATGTGACTGTGGGGGGAGGGGACATTAGAGTGTAAGCTCCTCTGTACAGAGACGGATGTGACTGTGGGGGGAGGGGACATTAGAGTGTAAGCTCCTCTGTACAGAGACGGATGTGACTGTGGGGGGAGGGGACATTAGAGTGTAAGCTCCTCTGTACAGAGACGGATGTGACTGTGGGGGGAGGGGACATTAGAGTGTAAGCTCCTCTGTACAGAGACGGATGTGACTGTGGGGGGAGGGGACATTAGAGTGTAAGCTCCTCTGTACAGAGACGGATGTGACTGTGGGGGGAGGGGACATTAGAGTGTAAGCTCCTCTGTACAGAGACGGATGTGACTGTGGGGGGAGGGGACATTAGAGTGTAAGCTCCTCTGTACAGAGACGGATGTGACTGTGGGGGGAGGGGACATTAGAGTGTAAGCTCCTCTGTACAGAGACGGATGTGACTGTGGGGGGAGGGGACATTAGAGTGTAAGCTCCTCTGTACAGAGACGGATGTGACTGTGGGGGGAGGGGACATTAGAGTGTAAGCTCCTCTGTACAGAGACGGATGTGACTGTGGGGGGAGGGGACATTAGAGTGTAAGCTCCTCTGTACAGAGACGGATGTGACTGTGGGGGGAGGGGACATTAGAGTGTAAGCTCCTCTGTACAGAGACTGATGATGGAGGGAAGACGGTGAATGTCACTCACTGTGATGTCTGGGCCCAGGGTGCTGCGTCTGTGTATTTTCCCAGAGCCCACCCCCGTTCGGTGATCTCCCTCCCATCTCCATCTTCTACAATCCCCCTCCCCCTTCTCATCCTGCACACCGGACTCAGGTAACCTGTAGACCTCCAGCTGCTGATGAACTACAAGTCCCAGCATTACCTGGCAGTGTGTCCTGGGGCATCCAGACTGTGATTTCCCCCGATCTTATATGTCAGACATCTTAAAATGATCAGCTGTGGAGCCATGACCCCGCCCACCGTCTCTACACAGGAAACATTGTTACCATGGGAACAGCGGAGGGACCTCCATAGAACAGACGTCATCCGAGGAGATACATTGTATAAGAATTGTCTGATGATCACGTGACCTGATACAGACGCTCTCCATACATGGGATCCGATCTCTGGCAGTGAGAGCGTTAATGTCTCTCCATCTCCATGACAACCGATCTCCTCCATCCAATCACACCCAGCATAGGCATGTCTACAGATCTGTACACAACACTGTCACCCTGGTGACCCTCGCTGTGACACACCCACATTCTGAATGAGGTAAACCACGCCCACTAAACTCAATACTGATCTCTCAATATCTGTACCCCCGCTGTGCCCATTATGAGGGGCTCCCACCATCCCTGTGCTGAGTTCCCGGGTCTGTACACCCGCTGTGCCCATTATGAGGGGCCCCCACCATCCCTGTGCTGAGTTCCCGGGTCTGTACACCCGCTGTGCCCATTATGAGGGGCCCCCACCATCCCTGTGCTGAGTTCCCGGGTCTGTACACCCGCTGTGCCCATTATGAGGGGCCCCCACCACCCCTGTGCTGAGTTCCCGGGTCTGTACACCCGCTGTGCCCATTATGAGGAGCTCCCACCATCCCTGTGCTGAGTTCCCGGGTCTGTACCCCCGCTGTGCCCATTATGAGGGGTTCATGATCAGCCTTGTGATTGGTCAGATCTCCTCTGTCCGGGTGTGGAGTCATTGTCCTGGCTGTACGGTGTGGTAGGGGTGTGTAAATCAGGTGGGACACTGAATGTGGTAATATTCCGGAATGTTCCGTGTCTGGGATTTGTAGGGCCGCCACCTTTTCTACAAGTGAATCCCGAATGATCTGGCGCCGCGCGCTGCAATTTAGTATGTGCGGGGTCTCAGGTGGGCTAGGTGGCCTCTTAGGTGGCTGTGCGGGGTCTCAGGTGGGCTAGGTGGGCTCTTAGGTGGCTGTGTGGGGTCTCAGGTGTGCTAGGTGGGCTCTTAGGTGGCTGTGTGGGGTCTCAGGTGGGCTAGTTGGCCTCTTAGGTGGCTGTGTGGGGTCTCAGGTGGGCTAGGTGGCCTGTTAGGTGGCTGTGTGGGGTCTCAGGTGGGCTAGGTAGGCTCTTAAGTGGCTGTGTGGGGTCTCAGGGGGGCTAGGTAGGCTCTTAGGTGGCTGTGCGGGGTCTCAGGTGGACTAGGTGGGCTCTTAGGTGGCTGTGCGGGGTCTCAGGTGGACTAGGTGGGCTCTTAGGTGGCTGTGCGGGGTCTCAGGTGGACTAGGTGGGCTCTTAGGTGGCTGTGCGGGGTCTCAGGTGGACTAGGTGGGCTCTTAGGTGGCTGTGCGGGGTCTCAGGTGGACTAGGTGGGCTCTTAGGTGGCTGTGCGGGGTCTCAGGTGGACTAGGTGGGCTCTTAGGTGGCTGTGCGGGGTCTCAGGTGGACTAGGTGGGCTCTTAGGTGGCTGTGCGGGGTCTCAGGTGGACTAGGTGGGCTCTTAGGTGGCTGTGCGGGGTCTCAGGTGGACTAGGTGGGCTCTTAGGTGGCTGTGCGGGGTCTCAGGTGGACTAGGTGGGCTCTTAGGTGGCTGTGCGGGGTCTCAGGTGGACTAGGTGGGCTCTTAGGTGGCTGTGCGGGGTCTCAGGTGGACTAGGTGGGCTCTTAGGTGGCTGTGCGGGGTCTCAGGTGGACTAGGTGGGCTCTTAGGTGGCTGTGCGGGGTCTCAGGTGGACTAGGTGGGCTCTTAGGTGGCTGTGCGGGGTCTCAGGTGGACTAGGTGGGCTCTTAGGTGGCTGTGCGGGGTCTCAGGTGGACTAGGTGGGCTCTTAGGTGGCTGTGCGGGGTCTCAGGTGGACTAGGTGGGCTCTTAGGTGGCTGTGCGGGGTCTCAGGTGGACTAGGTGGGCTCTTAGGTGGCTGTGCGGGGTCTCAGGTGGACTAGGTGGGCTCTTAGGTGGCTGTGCGGGGTCTCAGGTGGACTAGGTGGGCTCTTAGGTGGCTGTGCGGGGTCTCAGGTGGACTAGGTGGGCTCTTAGGTGGCTGTGCGGGGTCTCAGGTGGACTAGGTGGGCTCTTAGGTGGCTGTGCGGGGTCTCAGGTGGACTAGGTGGGCTCTTAGGTGGCTGTGCGGGGTCTCAGGTGGACTAGGTGGGCTCTTAGGTGGCTGTGCGGGGTCTCAGGTGGACTAGGTGGGCTCTTAGGTGGCTGTGCGGGGTCTCAGGTGGACTAGGTGGGCTCTTAGGTGGCTGTGCGGGGTCTCAGGTGGACTAGGTGGGCTCTTAGGTGGCTGTGCGGGGTCTCAGGTGGACTAGGTGGGCTCTTAGGTGGCTGTGCGGGGTCTCAGGTGGACTAGGTGGGCTCTTAGGTGGCTGTGCGGGGTCTCAGGTGGACTAGGTGGGCTCTTAGGTGGCTGTGCGGGGTCTCAGGTGGACTAGGTGGGCTCTTAGGTGGCTGTGCGGGGTCTCAGGTGGACTAGGTGGGCTCTTAGGTGGCTGTGCGGGGTCTCAGGTGGACTAGGTGGGCTCTTAGGTGGCTGTGCGGGGTCTCAGGTGGACTAGGTGGGCTCTTAGGTGGCTGTGCGGGGTCTCAGGTGGACTAGGTGGGCTCTTAGGTGGCTGTGCGGGGTCTCAGGTGGACTAGGTGGGCTCTTAGGTGGCTGTGCGGGGTCTCAGGTGGACTAGGTGGGCTCTTAGGTGGCTGTGCGGGGTCTCAGGTGGACTAGGTGGGCTCTTAGGTGGCTGTGCGGGGTCTCAGGTGGACTAGGTGGGCTCTTAGGTGGCTGTGCGGGGTCTCAGGTGGACTAGGTGGGCTCTTAGGTGGCTGTGCGGGGTCTCAGGTGGACTAGGTGGGCTCTTAGGTGGCTGTGCGGGGTCTCAGGTGGACTAGGTGGGCTCTTAGGTGGCTGTGCGGGGTCTCAGGTGGACTAGGTGGGCTCTTAGGTGGCTGTGCGGGGTCTCAGGTGGACTAGGTGGGCTCTTAGGTGGCTGTGCGGGGTCTCAGGTGGACTAGGTGGGCTCTTAGGTGGCTGTGCGGGGTCTCAGGTGGACTAGGTGGGCTCTTAGGTGGCTGTGCGGGGTCTCAGGTGGACTAGGTGGGCTCTTAGGTGGCTGTGCGGGGTCTCAGGTGGACTAGGTGGGCTCTTAGGTGGCTGTGCGGGGTCTCAGGTGGACTAGGTGGGCTCTTAGGTGGCTGTGCGGGGTCTCAGGTGGACTAGGTGGGCTCTTAGGTGGCTGTGCGGGGTCTCAGGTGGACTAGGTGGGCTCTTAGGTGGCTGTGCGGGGTCTCAGGTGGACTAGGTGGGCTCTTAGGTGGCTGTGCGGGGTCTCAGGTGGACTAGGTGGGCTCTTAGGTGGCTGTGCGGGGTCTCAGGTGGACTAGGTGGGCTCTTAGGTGGCTGTGCGGGGTCTCAGGTGGACTAGGTGGGCTCTTAGGTGGCTGTGCGGGGTCTCAGGTGGACTAGGTGGGCTCTTAGGTGGCTGTGTGGGGTCTCAGGTGGGCTATATGGGCTTTCCGGGGTGCTGTGCGTGTCTCCGGGGGAGTTGTGCGGGCCCACTGAGCTGTCACTGTAATCTGAGCCGTCAAATGAAGATCTGCAATGTAATCCCTAGTGGGGGCCACAATGTAATCCCTAGTGGGGGCCACAATGTGATCCCTAGTGGGGGCCGCAATGTAAACCCTACTGGGGGCC